CCTTTCATTCTTAGGCCTGAATCGGAAGAATTTACGTCCGCTTTGAATGTAAACATGTTTTCCGATATTAAAAACACTCTTCAGTTGTTTAGCAGTTGTTTCGCAAACATCTAAATGTCTTTCTTCTATATATTTATAGCTTTGATTGAAATCGCATTTCACTATCGATGCGATTGAATGCGTGCTGTTCTGTGGGAAATACAACAAAATATATACAAAATGAGAGAGAGAGAGAGAGAGAGAGAGAGAGAGAGAGAGAGAGATTTACCTGTAATATGGATACATTTGGTCCATAAAATAGGATGAAAAGCAAAGGTTCGTAAAAATTTCTTGTGGTCTCAAAAACAAAAGACCGATTGATAGATGGGATATAAAACGTGCCAAAACTTGACAACGGATTCATATGAGAGTTTCTTAAGATATGTTTTAAATAATTAGTGGTTTCGTCTAATGGCTTATTCCTCAGAACCACAGTTTCCAAGAGTTGTAATTCATTGTTAGTATTTGTGGCAATCATTTCAATGATAAGATGGGATGCGTTCACACTTTGCAATCGCATTGAATGCACTAAAAGTGGATGTTTTTGTTTGAATGCATTGCGAATCGTATCGCAAATCGCTTGCGTTTCGTCGGACACGAGTTGATACGGACGTCCTTTCGGACGCTCAACCGCTGGAAACGCCTTCAGACCCGACGGCGTGTACTGAAAAGCAAACGCTTTTTGTTCAAAATCGTCCTTTAATTTGCCGATTGTTTTATTGTCGATGACTTCGGCGTAAATACAGGCCCTATAATAGTGTGGATTTAAGTAGAGTTGACAACGAATTGTGTCCGCATTTGTGAAACATTCGCTGACATTAGAAGTATAGGAAGTGTAGAGTTTGAATGTAAATCCCATCACAGGTTTAGTCGTGTCTAAGAATAACAAACAAAAACAATTTCTATATTTTTGGATAAAATACAAACCGATATGAAATTTGTTAAGAATTGAAGTAAAATCGGAGTCAAAGAAAATGGGCTCTGATTTGATGCCAGGATTGGCACCACTTTTGAAGCTAACGTCAGACCACTTCCAGAATTTGGCGTTATTTTGAAAGTAGAGATCATTTCCTAATCCGANGCACCACTTTTGAAGCTAACGTCAGACCACTTCCAGAATTTGGCGTTATTTTGAAAGTAGAGATCATTTCCTAATCCGAAGACACTCTCAAGTCTTTGATCGGTTCCGCAGAAGTCGTTTGGTTTGAATGAAGGATAGGATTCGTAGTGATATGATTCACAACCAAAGAGACTTCTTAAGGTCTGATTTGTACCAAACATTTGGGACTAATATTTAACACAAAATAAAGAAATAAAAATTTCTAAACACTTTAATACAAATATATTTACTGTTAAAGTTGTGGTCAAATTGTCGCTCAAATCGATTAGACTTAAAGGTGTATTTGGACCGCAATTGTGACCACAACTCCACGTTTGGTTCAGATAACGAAACACATAATAGACATCATCTTTGGGTAAATAGTATTTAATGGCATAAATATAACTCATGGATAGATTGCTATCCCATAGTTTGCAGAACTGATAGCCCAATAGGTTAACAGTGTTTGGAAATGCCAGCGACTCAGCCGTAAAGATCTGAAACGTGATCTTATCCTCATAAAAGGGTACCAATACTCTGGTGCTGTTGTCGTCAGCGGTTCCGTTAATTGGATTAACTGGAAGACCACTACTCGTAGTGTTAATGGTATTCATATCAACCGCAAGGCTTTCCGGATGCGGTAAACGAAAGGATACGCCGGAGAAGAAGCCCTCTTTGGCTAAGTTTGTGTCGTTATGTTTCCACTTAAAGCCGCAATACGTCTTCACCCGACTCTCTAACACCGGAGTATTGATAGTCATTAGAAGGGAGTTATTGTATTTGCGGGCCAACCAAGTCTGTGATCCTAACATACAATACAAATAACATTTTTTATTGAATTATTGCTAATCACCATAACAATACACTATAGAAGTGCTCTATTCTCTAAACCTAATGACAATTAATAAAGAGATTATTATTACCACCGGTTTTATTGGTTCCGTAGAGACACGTGTAGAAGATCTGTGGGTCGTCGTAGACTTCAGTGCATTCGTTCAATACATCCAAACTTCCGCAATTATTGGACATATACTGATACGTGAAACCAAACACTGGTTTTGATAAATCTTTACAAAATTAAGACAATTAAAAAGTGTTTGTAATGTTAGAGAATAAATGATAGGCCGAACCAAACAATGACTGCAAGTCTGTCCATAAGTCTGTGTCGATCACAAACCGTGGGCTCCGAGAAAAGTGTTTCTCCAAATCTTCGTCGCTATCGATAGAGTCCTTGAGTTTCAAGAATTCAGTTTTGGTTTGAATTATCAAATCATTGCCTAAATTGAAAATCGATTGAAACTTTGTGTCCTGAATGTCGCAAAACATGTAGTTTTTATTTTTAACGTTTGATCCGTTAATCCCATAAATTGTAATTAAAATCACTGCTAAATAGCAGACTTGTGTCCAATAGTTAAGAGTAGCCATCGTTTATGTGTTTAAGAAATAGAAATAATTGACATTTAATTTAAGATTAACGATAATAGAAGTGAATTGTGTTGCGTTGAGAGCGAGATATTTATTAATGCAATAAGAAATTAATGTTCAAATAGTATAAGGTTTTCTCTATTCATATATTTTAAAATTTCAATTAAAATTTAATATAACTTATGGCAACAATTTAGACAATGAAATATATATTTAAAAAAAGTTTCAAAACAAAGACTTTTTGGACTCAACGGTCTCTGATTTCGCGGGTTTTGGGACTTCGGCCTCAAGTTTTGATGGCGTTTGGATATTAGGCTCAGTTGTCGTCGGGCTCTGGACTTCTGGATTAGCTTTTGCTAGAGTTGTCGATGGCTTTTGAGCAGTCTTTGGATCACTCGCTATATCCTTATCGTTCTTATCAATCACTGGTTTTGTCTTCGACTCATTGTTGCGGTGTTTGACAAAAGCGACAATCAGTGCGATCACAATCACGATCACCAGTGATAGCAATAGTAAGACAAGCATTACATTCATCGCACGCCTACCGGCCGTAGACTGAGATGTCGATGGTTTCGGACATTTGAAGAACACATTGAATTCAAAGCCATCCTTGAAATAAAAGTAAATAAAAAATTTAATAATATATCGCATAATAACAATTAAACTTAAACTTATCACTTAAACATCACATACAAGGGTTTGTCTATTGATATTATTATAAGCGCTTATCTGATAAACCACTGGATATGAAATGTCTTTCGGAAATACTAACAAATATAACATTTCATTCAATGAAAACATTCCCAATATTTTAGTGAATCTATTCCTCCCATAATCGGTAGGAACTTCTCCAGAGATTCCCGAAAATGGAGTACTATTTGCCGGGAACTCGAGAGCAGCAAAACATCTCGATTGATTGTAGACATTAGAATATTCTTTGCGGTCAAAGACAATGGCTAACGGATTCAAAAACCAGTCTCTGTATTGATCGACACTTTGGTTTGTCTGAAAGTATGCGATCGCGAGTATAGTATCGGATGTTATGTTGTTTTGCAGATATTGTTTGTCAAAAGCGCCGATTGTGTGGACACTAATAGGATATCGCATTTCATTTGATCCCTTATTGTTGGGAATCATGTGATCGATTGGACCCAACTTTAGATCAAAGACACCGTAAATGCTTCGAGAATTGAATTGTGAAAATGTCTGGGAATTGCTTCGACCGATGATTACAATTCTGTAGGCGTTGTACTTCAGAAGATAGGAATAACCAGTTATACGATAATTGATATCTTAAAAGATTTTTTAAATCGTTAGTCTCTCTCTCTCTCTCTCTCTCTCTCTCTCTCTCTCTCTCTNTCTCTCTCTCTCTCTCTCTCTCTCTCTCTCTCTCTCTCTCTCTCTCAACACAATTACCGAAATAATCGTTTAACAAATTCGTAACATATCTATCAAAATGTAAAGAACTCGTAGTCTTTGCACGACTGAAGATCTTAGGTCTGAATCGGAAGAATTTACGTCCGCTTTGGATATAAACATGTTTTCCGATATTAAAAACACTCTTCAGTTGTTTAGCAGTTGTTTCGCAAACATCTAAATGTCTTACTTCTGTATATTTATAGCTTTGATTAAAATCGCATTTCACTATCGATGCCATCGATTCCGTGGTATTCTATGGGAAATACAGACAATATATTATACAATATGAGAGAGAGAGAGAGAGAGAGAGAGAGAGAGAGANAGAGAGAGAGAGAGAGAGAGAGAGAGAGAGAGAGAGAGAGAGAGAGAGAGAAACTCGCCTCTACTATTAATAGATTCGGTGCGTAAAACAGGAAACTAAGTAAAGGTTCGTAAAAATTTCTTGAAGTGTCAAAACCAAAAGTCCGATTCATTGATGGGATATAAAACGAGCCAATGTTTGGTCGCCAGACCTGTGTTTGAACAATACTATCAACCCTATGCTTCGGCGAATCCAATGGCCTATTCTTCGAGACTATGACTTCTAATTGGTGCCAATCGTTGGTTGAATTCTTGCCAATCATCTCAACAATAATATGGGAACTGTTGGATACACTTAATCGCATGGATTGGATGGATAGTGAAAGTTGTTGTCTGAAAAGTTTGTGTATATTATCACAAATGAGTTGCGTTTCTTTGAATGTCTGCGGACGGGAATCCATGTCTGGGAACTCATTCAGACCCGAAGGCGTGTATTGAAAGGCAAATGCTTTTCTTTCATAAGTGTCCTCTAATTTGCCGATTGTGTGATTGGTTATGACTTCGCCGTAAATACAGGCCCTATAATAGTGTGGACTCGAAAAGAGTTGACACCGAATTGTGTCATCATTTGTCAGACATTTCTTGGATTTAGTATAGAGTTTAAATGTGAATCCCATCACAGGTCTAGTCGTGTCTAAAGTAAACAAATAAAAACAATTAGACTTTTTTCAAAAATTTTATTCATAAAATTCAAACCAATATTAAATTTGCTGACAATTGAAGTGAAATCGGAGTCAAAAGAAATGGGTTCTGAAGTAATGTTAGGATTGGCACCACTTTTGAAGCTAACGTCAGACCACTTCCAGAATTTGGCGTTATTTTGAAAGTAGAGATCATTTCCTAATCCGAAGACACTCTCAAGTCTTTGATCGGTTCCGCAGAAGTCGTTTGGTTTGAATAAAGGAAAGGAATCGTATTGATAGCGTCCGCAACCAAACAGAGTCTTTAGCGTCTGATTTGTACCAAACATTTGGGACTAAAATTCAAATACAGATTTAAATGAATAAATATTACTAAAAGTCTGAAAATATTTACGGCTAAAGTTGTCGCCAAATTAGACTCTAAAAATATAAGACTTAAAGGAGTATTTGGTCCGCAATTCTGACCACAACTCCACGTGCGGTTCAAATAACGAAACACATAATAGACATTATCTTTTGGTAAATAATGATTGAAAGCGTTGTGATAATCGTCCGTAAGATTACTGTCATATACTTTGGAAAATTTATAGCCCAACAGATCAACAGTGTCTGGATTTGCCATTGACTGCGCTGTGAAGACTTGATAAGTGATCTTATCGTCATAATAAGAAATGGCGGTCCCATTATCCCAAGCGGTTCCGTTCGTTGGATAAACAGCAGTGGTATTGTCATAACCACTGTCGGTGTCATTGCTCTCTATCTCCGGTTGCGGTAAACGAAACGATACGCCGGAGAAGAAGCCCTCTTTGGATGAATGCGATTCTCTGTGCTTCCACTTAGACTCGCAGTAAGTCTTCGCCCGAGAGTTTAGGGCCGACGACATGATAAGCATGAGTCGGGAGTCGTTGTATTTGGCGGTTATCGAAGTCAGTGATGCTAAAAGTCAATCAAATTAATCAATTGTTTATTCAAACGTTACAATTCATAGCACTTTCAATAGTTATTCTTAAGAATTGGCGACAATTAACAAAGAGATCATTTATACCGTTATTAGTATCGCTTCCGTAGAGACACGCGTAGAAGATCTGCGAGTCGTCGTACACTTCAGTGCATTCGTTCAATACATCCAAACTTCCGCAAGAGTTGGACATAAACTGAAAGGTAAAGCCAAACACAGGTTTGTATACATCTGTTGAATAAAACATAATTGTGTTATAAAATGAGATAATTGTGAGAATGAGTTGTTTGTGATCACAAACCAAACCAATATTTGCTGAGAAATGTCTTCATATCGTTATCGTTGACAAACTCTGCCCTTCGAGTCGGGAATTTCTCCAACGCCTCGTCCGTATCGATACAGTCCTTGAGTTTCAAGAATTCAGTTTTGGTCTGAATTATCAAATCATTGCCTAAATTGAAAAGTGAGACAAACTTTTTGTCCTCGATGTCACAAAACATGTAATTTTCATATTTAATGTTTGGTCCGAAATAACAATAAATTGTGGTTAAAATCACTGATAAATAGCAAACTTGTGTCCAATAGTGAAGAGTAGCCATCGTTTGAGTGTTTAAGATATGATTTGAAATAATTAACAATAAATTCAATTCTAATATTGTTTGAATTGTGTTGAGAGCGAGCTATTGATTACTGACAATCGTTTATATATTGTTTCAATACATTTATTAATTCATATAAAAATAAGTTTTACATTCATTACAAAGTATTTAAATATTAATTGTTTAGCAGAAATTAGATAATGTTTAAAATACAATCAAAAAATTAGTTTCAAATAACAAACAATTAGTTATATAAGTTATTAATGTTAAACAAATTGTCATTCATTTACAAATACAGAAGTAATCAATTAATAATCAAACAAATGTGAAAAAAATATAGAAAATGTTTTATAATAGAAATCATAGCAATGAGTGATTTAAATGACAATTAAATGTATTGAATACTAATTAGAAGTGTCTTCAAATTCAAACTCCCTGACATATGAGCCATTGTAGTGCTGATACTGAATACCATTGATGGTTATATAAGACGGTATATTTCCATTGCTGGGTATCTTGTTTTTGAAATACTGTTCCGCATTTCGGTACTTCTCATTAGTAATGGTCATTGCCTTAAGACTCGCAACCATTGTCTTAAGGCAGAAATCATTGGTCGCCTCATTCAATGGCGCCAACTCTTCGGCATTTTTGGCCAACAATTGATCCAAATTCTTAGCGATAAACGTCTCGACACAAGTTCTCAACTTTTTCATCGGATAAGTGAACGCCATTTTCGATATAATCTCCAGATTATCGACATTTACTATTGATATCATGTGTTTCTCTATTGTTTCCATCAAACGATACAATTGGTATTTGTCGGCGATCTTCACCACATCACCGACCAGTTCCACATCTGTGCCATCGCTTAAAACCAGTTGATCGGTATATAAGTAAAGAATCATTACTTTGAACGCTTCGGCATTCATGTCCTCAATTGGGATCTCTTTCTCTTCCGATTCTTTGTATTTTCCCGAAAACATTGCTCTAAAGACTTCACTCTTGAGACCCAATACGTGTCTCAAAGCGGGAACTCTTTGGCCATCGATTATGAAGAGGACATCGCTTTCCGATTCGTTCAAAAAGCACGACATCTCTGGATATCTCATGTCTTTCACGTGTTTTGGCTGTAAAAGTGATCATCAAATCAATGGTTAATTTAATGAATGCTAAAGAATGAGCTCAAGAAGTGGTCATTGCCTGTGAAGTGGTGTCTAAGAGTACTGTCACTCTTTTGGACTCATTTCCACCACCACTTCCACTGCCATTGTCTTGGGATCCGTTCGCGTCAGACATGTGTTGGTATTTGTGTCTAAATTAATGACAATTGAATGCAAATTAACGGCTATTTTATGATTGGTTTGTGTTTGGAGTGAAACATGTGTTCATTCAATACTGCATTGCATTGTCAGTGCAATAGAGGTCTAAATCAGTGATTATTATATGATTATTGCATTCAAAACATAGAATTTTAGTCTTTATTCACAAATATTCTGACCTCTAGTCCAACACAATAGCCCACACATTGACCACTAAATATGAGTGATTCACAAATAGTGTTACAAATAATTTGTGTTTTATACAAACCCTAACAACAATCGTAAGCATTAATGAGTGCTTGTATTGAGACAAATGCGCTTATAATGAATGTAACGCTATATTTGTATTCATTTCATGCAATCATCGCTTCATTTCATTTGCATTCAAAATACGACTCAAAATCGTTTCAAAACTTTTGATTTGATTTTGAATTGAATTGACATTTGATTTGCATTGAAGACAACGATATGGCGGACAACGGATCCAATGACAAGTGGGAGGTCGAGGAGGAAGAGGTGGCCTATAATTGGAGTTTAGGGGACGGGAAACACAAGGTATACGTGAAGACAATAGCTATTGAGATAACTATTGAATGGATTTGATTATGAAATCAAGTTTTGGTTTTTAAATGATTTTTTAATTTTTAACATTCATTTCATGTGTTTTATAGGAAACCAAAGACAACAACGATTTGTATCCAGAAATGGATTACTTTATGAATGAATCCAAAAGTGATGTCATATTCATAATCGATGGCCAAAGAGTTCCCGCATTGAGACACGTATTAATGGTGGGAAGCGTTTACTTCAGAGCCATGTTTTCGGGAAGTTTTGTCGAAACAGACAAACAGGAGATTGAGATGAAAGACACGACTTATGAGGCGTTCAAAGCCGTCATTTGGTACTTATATACTCATGAGTTATCATTCGATGGCAACGAAGACTTGGATTGCGATCTCGTGTCCGATGTCTGCAAACTGACCGACGCTTACGGTTTGCCCCGAATTGCGCCACTGATTGGCCAACACTTGAATAAACGTCTTTCAGTGAATAATTTGGTGTTTATTTCGAAAATTGCATTCAATTATAATATGAATGAATTGAAAGCAAGTGTTAAAGAATTCATTGATTTGAGTTACGAGACAATCATTGATAAAGACATGGATTACATAAAACAGATCAATGCCTTCACTGATGACTATTTATTGGGAAAATTAGTGCCAAAAGCGGTTCAATTGGTGACAATTAAAAGACATTTATGTTATAATTGTAAGCATTTAGCGGATAACGTGCAAAATGGGGTCAATTGCTATGTAAACAACTTTGATGACGATTGGGGTGACCAATGGGGTCAATAGGATCCATAGCATGGATGGATGATATATACCATATTCAATATGATTTACCCATTAATCCTATATTTAATTATCAAATATTTACTCATATTATTTTTGTAATAAATCATTATTATAATTATTATTTAATATAATTTTATTAAATATGCTTTGTGAATATTGTTTGTATTAATTTATATGCTATTTATATGATTATAATTATAATAAAGGTATAATTAGTTGAATATATTATTACATGTACTGTATATGAAGTTAAGAAATTGTTTTGAATTTATTTCCACGTTTGTATGATTGCGACCAAAATTACAAATTATATTAAATTGATTAACAATTTACAATATTATGAACACAATTGTATATAATTTACTAAATATGAATATTAAGCCTTTATTAATTAAATATTTATCGATTATGGCTTTCAAAACTGTTTCTTATGAAGTGTCCATTATATGAAGGTTTGACTGCAATCAGTGTTTTATACAAATCAAACACTAATTAGTGGTTGTGTTGAGACAACTGTACGTTTTATTTGTATTCATTTCATGCAATCATCGCTTCATTTCATTTGCATTTAAAATACGACTCAAAATCGTTTCAAAACTTTTGTCTGATTTTGAATTTAATTGACATTTGATTTGCATTGAAGACAACGATATGGCGGACAACGGATCCAATGATACAGAAGTGAAGCCAAAGGTATGAGTGAAGACTTGTATATCAATATTGATAAACAAGTGTTGAATTGATTTTCAAATTAAGTGTTGTTTTCAATTCATTTTTACTTTCATTTCATGTGTTTTATAGGAAACCAAAGAAACCAATGATTTGTTTCCAGAAATGGATTACTTTATGAATGAATCCAAAAGTGATGTCATATTCATAATCGATGGCCAAAGAGTTCCCGCAGAGAAACACGTATTAATGGTGGGAAGCGTTTACTTCAGAGCCATGTTTTCGGGAAGTTTTGCCGAATCAGAGAAACAGGAGATTGAGATCAAAGACACCACTTATGAGGCGTTCAAAGCCGTCGTTTGGTTTCTATATTCACGCGATCTGTCGTTCAAAGACAATGAAGACATTGATTGCAATCTCGTGACGGATGTGTGCAAAGTGGCCGACGCTTACCATTTGCCACGACTTCTGGAAACGATTGGCAAATATTTGAAGAAAGAGATATCAATCAAATATTTGCCGTTTATATCGAAAATGGCATTCAATTATCGCATCGAAGAATTGGACTCAAGAGTGAAGCGATTCATTGATTCGCATTACAATAGGATTATTGCCAAAGACATTGAATACTTGACTAAAGTAAACGAATCCACTTCTGGCTATTTGTTGACCCAATTGGTGCCAAAGGGTCGCAAACTCGTGGCTCTCGAAGAGAGACACTGTTATGAATGCAAAGAATCGGTTGAAAACATCGATTTTGATAATCGAAAGGAATACAAGGAATGGCTCAATAATAATACAGACTTGGATTATGATTACTAAATCCCATGTTATATAACCGTTAATCCTATGTTTAATTATCATTTGTCACAAGTACATACATTTTGATTATAAATTCTTAATTAACTCAATTGGTTATGGACTTATTGGTGTTCATGTGGTTGGTCTCTCCCTCTATAATAACTTACGTAAAACAATACAAAATCCCTCTCAAAGTGCGGTACAAAAACAGAAGGGTGGGCCCAGCATGTTCTTATATATGCCCACATTATTGATGAACAGCTCTAATACACACTATACAATATTTTGTACAGTTAAAGGCGTAACCATAGCAGCGTGTTTTCTTGGATGCCAACATCTCTATATATTATACAGTAATATAATTAATCATTTCATATAATAAATCAGTGCTTTTTATAATTTTTCATACACTTTTGTTTGAAATATTTTTGTGTTGATTTATCTGATTTATTGATGTTTTTAATAATTGTGTGGTTTTTTAAATTCAGTATTAATTAAAAACATTGTATTTAAATAACTAAAAATATTTTCAAAAATGTTAAAAAATTTAATTAAGATTTCAACCAATTTAATGGTTAGTAAATTACATATATTTGACTCTTAATCATGCTAATTACTACTAATTACTAATTATCACAATTTGCTTGTAAATTTATATTCAAACTATAAATGTTTTTATGTAATAAATCATTGGTTATTCATTAAAAAGTTATTTAATACATTTTAAAAATTTAGTTTTCAATAAACTTTCAATTTAAATCGTACGGCATTTGTGAACAATTCATATAATTAGCATTGATTTGAGTGCAAAACAACACAAAAAGTCATTCAATGTTAATTGGCTTCAAATGCAATGCATTTCAGCAAACAATACATTTACTGGTAATGAGGGGGCGGAGAGGGGTCTATACAAGTGTAACGTTACATGTCTTATGTGAATGACCCGCACCCGAGACCTCACGTCAAAACACGTGGTTTTTATTTGTTTTGCATTTTTTGAAATTAGTCACAAATTTGCGGACAAAATGCCGGGAATAGAGGCCAAGAGATTCGTGGGTCTGGACTCACAAATGGCCCGACACTTGTCGTGCGGAAAGTGTCTGAAAGTGTTGGTCGAAGCGGTGGACACGAAATGCGACCACACTTTCTGCCGGAGTTGTATCGACGCAGTCATCGATGGTTCGCGTCCGAAGAGCGCCGACGGATCCCAAAACGAATCGACCGGACAATTGGTTTGTCCGGAGTTGGACTGCGGCCGCGAGTGGACAGTGAGTCGTGAGAGCGGATCCACTGAATGGAAACTGAAGAAGAATCGCCGCATTAACGACATTATCGGTGAGCTTAAGATCCGATGCGATTCCGCGCTAAAGGGTTGCGAAGAAGTGGTTGAGTTTCGGTCGCTGTCGGCGCACCTGAAGAAGTGTCGATTCGTGATGTGCGAGATCTGTGACCTCCCGGTCGGCGATCGCGACACTCATGACTGCATTCATCTGCTGAAGAGGGAGAGCCAAGTGGTCCGCAAAGAGAGCGCAGTCCTCGTGAATGACCTGAAGAAGGCTAAGGATATGCATAAAGTGATGACCGAAGCGGAGCGACAGATGAGGGCCTCTCTTAACAATATGGAGAAACACAAGAATGAGAATCAGTCTCTGAAGACAGAGAATCAGTCACTGAAGACAGAGAATCAGTCTCTGAAGACAGAGATCCAGTCTCTGAAGACAGATCGGTCGGATCAGTCTCTGAGAGCCGACAATCAGTCACTGAAAGCAGAGACTCAGAAACTTATCGCAGAAAACGATTGCCAGAAGAATGAGATAACGTCTTTGAAAGACAGGAACCAACACTTGGCCATTGATTTGCAAGAATTAAGGAATCAGATGAAGACGATTGCTAGTGAGCCGAAGAGAAAGGCGGACCCGAAAGGAGTTGAAGATTCGCCGGTGACTCCGGCCAAGAGACGCGGCAGACCTGCTTCGGGAACTAATAATCATTAGATTAAAGTTTTCATTAGTTTTCACTATAATATCTATTCACACGATTTGCATTCATATTTCAATACATTATATAAAGTTTTATAACCATTTCTTTTGAAGTTTTAATTTGACATTTAATCTATAAATT